GCCACCTCAGTCCCTAGGCAGGTAAAAGAAGATACAAACTTATTATTTAAATCATACATCTATTAATTTCTATTATTGATTTGCCTATTAAGTGAGTAAATGGAAACAGGCTTGGTTAATATATTTCTTAAAGAGTTAAAAAGACCTTTGTCCTAAAGTCCCCTTGTTATGGCGCGAACGATTCTGAGACCCACGGAGCCAATCGAGATTAATTATGAGCCTTTATTAGCCGACCGGCAACTGACGCAGGGCTAGAGGAGATCAGCTCCGAGCTTCCAGAGGAGGCAGCTGATAAAGCTTAAGGCCATATCCTGGCGATCTCCTGAACAAGCAAACAGATTACAGAAGTGGAAGTTGGCTGTTGGCATATCTTTGCCCGGAACAACACCCTTAATTAACAAGTAAATGGATTACAGAAGCAGACATTGGCCATCTTCATATCTTATACAATACACTTCCTAAACCACACACAAGCAAGTAGGACAACTTCTGGTATCTAAAGATATTTCTTCCCTGTAGCTGACTTAGCTAGTTGGCTCACTTGAAAATTTTCTACCCTTAACACCCTCCCCTCTCAGACTCTAAGGGCCCTGTCTGGCCTAACACCATTTCTGCTAACAATAGGCTGATGACCGTTATCAATAGCCAGAGGATCTGAGTTGCAAGTTTGGGGGCAATTATCAGGATTTGAAGAAAAAGGCCTTTTTTCCCAGAGAAAGGAGGGAAAAAAACTTAACTAGGTTTACTAAAATGATTAACTCTGCAAGAGATGTCCCATTTCATTTCCTGATAAAAGATTAAGAATTTTACAAGTGATGTCCCATCTCAGCATGATAACTTAATGTGGTATGCAGAGCTCGCTTGAAAATAGTTTCAGTGATTTATACCTAGAGTATACCTCTACTCTGTACTCTGAGGTTCTGTAGCTATTGACTGGTACAAAGCTGTAGGTTTGTCTCCTGAGAAGCAAGTGTTGAGCTTTTTTTTTTTTTTTTCCTGGGGCGATCTGTACTATGGAAAGTTACTTTTAATTTGTTCCAAATTGTGAAAAACATGAAACATTCAGGGGTTTATCATAATTCTTGATGAGATAAATACTGTGCTCATGCAATTAAAAAAAAATGGAAAATATGTATTTAGTCCAAAAGCTTCATTTTTAAAAAGTTAGCATAAAGAAATAATTTCCTAAAGAGCCTTTCAGTCTGAGACGAAAGATGGAATCGGTCATCTTGAGGAGACAGATCAGATTGTCACTGTGTCATGTCCATTGACTAGGACAGGCTGCAGCCGCAAGCTTTTCAAGTAGCGAGATTAGATTTTGCAGATCCCAAGCATTGCTCCACAGTGCTGTGCACCTTTGGCTTTACCTGGGATTTTGTTTGGACTAGATGTTGCCAGACCCTACCCTAGAACTAGTAAAACAGCATTTAACAAGCTTCCTCAGTTGACTTGTATGTACTTTAAAGTCTGAGACACATTAGTGCAGTGATTCTCAACAGGGAGTGATTTAGGGCCTCCAGGGAACACTGGTCAATATTTGAAGACATTTTTGGTTCTACAGTTGGGAGAAAGGGCTGCTACTGGCATCTGATGGGTATAGGCCAGGGATGGTGCTAGACATCCTACAATACACAGCGCAGCCTCCCACAGTAAAGAATTCTCCTGCCCACCCTTTCCACCATGTGGGGAGACAAGAAGTCTGTGACCTGGAAGAGGGCCCTCATCTGACTGTGCTGGCACCCTGATCTTGGACTTCCAGGCTCCAGAACTATGAGAAATATATTAGTATATATTTTATATATATTAGTATATATTTAAAAAATTCTCCTGCCCCAAATGTCAATAGTGCTGAAGTTGAGAAAACCTACACTTGTATAATTCATCCAACCTTTATCATGTAGTCCCAGATCTTTTAGTGTACATCATTTCTATTGTCCTTGCCTATATTTACACCTTGTCTCTTCTCTAGCTTGTATTATGGAGAACTAATTCTGTCAATTACTTTTGATCATTATTTGCCTCGCTGTGTCCTGTTGAATGTGCTTTCCACATTGGGGTAATAACGAGAGCTTAAAAGGGTAAACCCTTAGCAGGAAGGGAATGTGTCTTACAAAATGTTGTATCCTAACACATATTAAGTCTCTTGGTGTGAAGGCATTGTCTTCCTTTAATAAAATAAAACACAGCATCTCTAAGGTTTTGGCACCAGAAGGAAAATCTTTAGGTGAGTCCTGAGAGAAGGTTGCTGACCAAACATCAATGACAAATGCCTTTGCTGTATAGTTTACAGTTCCTTTAGCAGTGTTCCCTTCATATAGTAGAGGTGGAATTTTTCCTAAACATTACTAAGTAGTAGAGGGGTCAACAACAACAACAAAATAAATAAAAACTTCCAAAGTATTGAGTTCTGAACAGATGAAAGCTACAGTGCCTTAAGCTTA